AACACATCATCTTATAAAAAAAAAATAAAAAATAACATTACACAACTAATCATACAATATAATTACAGACTTGGTATTAAATTAAAAGTAAAATAAAAATCCTTATTTAAATCAAAGCAATTTTTATATCATTTATATAAAACGTATTTTTATTAACAAAAAAAGAAGAAAAAACTTAATTATATATTTTATACTAACTATATATATAAAATACTTTTTTATGTATAAACATAATATAATTTAATAAATTTTGTGTGTATAAATACATATATATAATGTACAAAGTATAGATTCTCATTATCATTTTATATAAAAAAAGCCAATCTTTATATAAATTATTATCATCATTTTACCTTATGTTATTCAGTAATAAAAAATAAGACATTATTAGTTATAAATTTGACAAATAGTAAAATATTAAAAATTTTGAACATGTGATATAACCTGATTATATAGCCACACTTTTTTATTGCAATTGTTTTACACTGCTATGGTAACCATTAATGATTGTTAATCTTAGCAATAGTTCAGTAATATAAAAACTATAATTATAAAAATACATAATATATATCCATAATTATAAAAAAAAAAAAAATACAAGTGTTAAATATTAAAAATATATTTGTAATATATTAAACTTTTTTATTGAGCAAAATATATATAAAATATGTCATATCGTATATATTATGTAATCTTTTATTTTATAGGAATCTAATTAAAGATATCAATGTATGATATTTATTTTGTACTATCAATCTCGCATATATTATTATATCTATTTCAAAGTTTGCATCTTAAAAATTAATCCAATTTTGATGATTCAAAAGAAATTAATTATTGTATATTCATATGAATATCAATTTCAAATTAATATGTTTAATCAATGTAATTGATTACACAAGTATGAACATTAATATCAATATTACATGAAATAATATATACTTGTTTTAGATGATATAACAAGTTATTTCTAATTATTTTTAAATAATTGATTATATTTGCAGACATTTTATTTTTCAATCACCTAACAGAATCTAACATTGCCTGACTTTATATTTTTTAATCATTATTCCGGTTATTCAGTCATTATTTAGGTTATACATTATTTAAACTTCTGAAAAGACATATTAAAAAGTGCAGAAATTATAATGAAATTGAGTTATGTGCGAATAAATGCCAGTTAACAGATATATGTATTACGTTTAGTATGAACTCTGCATGACATGAACTGCAAGTAATCGTAAAAATATTTAATGATATATTTGCGAGAACAAACATTCAGAGTTTTGCATTCAAATAAAATATCTTTGTTGTATAATAAAATCGTTATGATATATATACAAGCCGTCACAATTCGATACTCGACTTGCATTTAACGGAGCATAAGTTAGAGAGAGAGAGAGAGAGAGAGAGAGAGAGAGAGAGAGAGAGAGAGGAGAGAGAAAGAGAAAGAGAGAGAGAGAGAGAGAGAGAGAGAGAAAGAAAGAGAGAGGTGCGATTATATTCCATTTCCAATTGTGTGTGAGATACGTAGGTTATGGAATTATGTTTATACACGCAGACTGCATTTGTGTGCACTGTCGTGCGATACAGATAAAGACTTAGAATAAATAAATAAAATGATCGAACGTGGGGAGCAATGGTAGCTGTGCTCCCACGACTACGTTTAATCGTGCTCTAACGTATCACTCACCGGAAAAGCACGTATGCGCATCTTGCTTTCCTTCTTCATCAGGGCACTGCTCTTCATCATGTCGAATTTTCGGTCTCAACGCGTCCTCAAGGGTCCTCTCCCTCCCAGTTAATGCCTTCCCGACGATGCTGCTACGATAAGCGCGTGGCGCCGCGTACACATTGATACCGCTGCTCCTTTTTAAGCGTAGCAAGCACACATTTAGGTATATCGGGAACAGCCGATGATCGCGAATCACCGTAGTTGCCGTATGAAGAGACGAGTGCAATCACTGCCGAACCATACTCGCGGAGACAGCGTAGACAAGACTGATGACGGACGAGCACATTTAACGAAGCGTTTTACGGCGTCTCTCTCTTACAAGCTACAACACTATTTTTTTCTCCGGCTTGACGAGCGAAACGCTAATCGCCCTGAAAGGTACGCGCTTTTGACGATTGAGGCGAAAAGTGACAACGATGACGGAACAAGAGCGCGAGGGAGGGAGCAAGACAGCATACAAGAAGGAGAAGGAAAAGAGAGAGAGAGATAGACGGATAGACAGACACGGTATAAAGCCGAAGAATCGCGGCCAAGAGGGAAATATCGCACTTCTGTCAACAACCTGAGGGGGCCGATCTCCTTTTTTATCCGCAGCCGCGAAAGTCTCGATCTTCTGTGGTGATGATGATGATTGCTCACCGATTTTTTAGTGAAACAGCCGCGGATGCGAATGTAGTGACATAATTGAGAGAAGTCCGGTCTACAACAGCACCGCCACGCTAATACGAGTTTTCGTTGCGCCAACAACACCGCCACCGTCGTCAACAGAGAGTATTTACCACCAGAGAGAAGCCTGCGGCCACGCCAGCATTTTTCATTAAAATCCCTTGTACTGTAGCGCCATCACGTCTACTTTCATTGCTGGAAAGATTTAACGACATACATTTTTCAATTGATAAAATCGCAACTCTTCCACATCCCGAGATATATAAATATATATAAAATGAACTTCATCACATAATGCCCGCTTCGATACCAAACAGTCGCTGGAGTAATAAGGATTTTATATTGCGCTCAATTTCAGAAATATTAGCTTGCAATACCTCTAGTGAGTCACCCTTATATAAAACACAGATATTTAATTGTAACAAATTTGCAATATAGAATCCTGAAATTTATTTCCATTTCTTCCTTCTTCCACTGCTCTAAGAAGTTTGAACTATATAACTTATTTTGTGTTTAAAATATTAGAAAATCCAGTTACATGTTGATATCAAATTTCTATCAAGTTGCAATTTTAGAAGAGGGAGATATTTATTGATTCATATAATGTGACTTAATTTGCGACATACTGTGTGTTCTCTTAATTTCTTTTTACTGTTTTAACATATAAAAATTTTATAGATACAATAATTTGAACAATTGGAAAGAAAATGTTTTGATTCAAGCAATTCAAGTATTCATTGTGGAAAAGATGTGCATATGAGAAATATGAGATATTTTATATAATTCCATTTTTTTGTTATCTTTCAATTATGAAAGCATTTTTTTCCAAATATGTATCGTTCTTTTTTTGTTTAGAAAAATGAGAAAACATAAATCTATATTCCCTTCTCAAAATATTCATATCTAGCATGGCTAGTTTAACAAAATCAAATTTTAACATAAAAGCTTTGCATTTTTTACTTTGGATATTATCATTTATAATCTTTATTCTATTTTCTTTATTTTCATATAATGTTTTATAAGAATTATTTATTATATATATAACAATTATATATGACAATTTTTTTTAAACATTTAAAAAGCTACATATTTAATAGTGTTTTTAATAGTTTTTTTTATTTATAATTAATACAGTTTATATCTTTTTATCCTTAGATTTTTTAGGTTTATCATAATTTTATCATAAAATCTTGTGGAATAAAAATCGAGTTCTTTCAAATGATTATTCTCTAGGCCAACCTATCACTATTAATAAATATGTATAAAAGATGCTTATAGTATTATAATATTTTTCATTGATGATATATATAAGATATATGCAATTGTTTGCCATAATATTTTTGACAAGCATTGATAATACATCACAGATATATGATTATTATTGTAAATTGACCATTGTAGTCATCAATTTTAGACCAATTTTTAAAATGAAATTATTTCAAGCATACTTGAATCAGAAATAGTCATATATACTATTACTATACCTATAATGCTTACAAAAATCGCTAAAATCCATGCATTCCAATACTTATTCCCAATGTTTCCTTGGGATAGTTTTGAGTTTTCATACTTGTCTTTCCTCTTTCGGCGTGGCTTGAACTTTTTCTCGAATTTCTCAATCTCTTCCCGATTGCGTAATTCTTCCGCCTCTCGTTTCTTTGCTATAATAGCTTCTTGGGCCTCCTTCTTCTCAATTTTCAATGACTCACACACATTATCGCATTCTACAATAATCTGCTCTTTTTGAAGAAACAAACAAAGAAAATCCTTTTTGATCCTTTTACATTTACACCATAATCTAACTTTCTTGTTGCATTGCTCCTTTCCTTTGCATTCTCCTGGATGGCAATCGTTGATGCAACGGTGGCCGCACAAATACTAAAATGAAAAACAATTATACTTTCTGTTAAAAAGGCAGCAAAATTTATATATACTTCATCAAGAGTACATAAGCATAGTTACATTTTTTGGACACTGGTTTCCACATTTGAGTAATTCGTCGCGTTTCTTATTCGTCGTGGACACCAAGTCTACACAGTGTCGGTAAAGGGTGCTAATACCACAGTGACAAGACACTCGCACTAATTGTTTGCACGGTTTGCAAGGCGCCGGATGACAAGGTTGTGGACATGCGTGTGTACAACCTGGTAAACGTGCAAATTGACATTCTTTCTCACATTCCATGCACGGCGTACCGCTATCTGATTTGTCATCAGAAGTTTGTATCTTATGACAGGTCAACTCGCAGATGTGATTTTTACACGGCAATAGTTGGCCGCAAGCTCTGCCGCAGGAGCTCGGTTTCGACATATGACACGGCCAGGGACGCGTCTCATGACCTCCGAGACAGGTCACAAGCACAGAAATTTCACATGGTGGGCACGGTAAAGTCTTCAACTCCATAATGTCCTTCCCAGGCTTTTCCCAAGGTCCAATGGGCTGCGCTTTTACTCCGTTCGCTTTCACCTTCACCCAGACTTTCGTATGACAAGTGACTGGGCAAGAGTGACCACATCTCTTGTGGGTCAAGCTGCAGATCTTTTTGCAGGGTGGACATGGGCCTTGATGACATCTGTGAGTTTCTCTCTTACTGTGATGACAGACAGGCGGAATTTTGCAGGATTTGTTACACGGCGGTGGCCTGATTCTCTTGCTGGTACCGCATGGCACCGTTATTTTGCTGCTGCCACATCGACATTGTATGACGTCCATTCTTGTGCATGGATAGCAAGGACCGCTATGGCAGGGTGCGGCGCACTTGTGCTTCCGACAATTAAGCATATTTTCGCACGTTTTCTCGCAGGGATTAGATGTATTCTTCAATACGCAATCGCAACATTTTTTATTACACAGGTGTTTACCACATAAGCGCATTTGTGTGCATTTCTTGTTGCAGTGAAATTCTTTTCCACAAGCAATCTCTTTGGTATAACTACCACATTTGCAGGCTTTTGTTACCACTTCTAAGCAGTGACCACAACGATCGGTATGACATCTCATGTTGCAAAAGTGTGATCCGCAGTCTAACAATTTATCGCAAGTATCGCCACACGTTGGCACTTGCTGCTGCCTGCAAGTAACTTCGTATCGTTTCTTTCCGCAAGGGCAGCATCTGTTCTTCTCTAACGGACAATTACCGCAATCATCGGGTAAATGACATGTACTCTCGCAGGTATGTACATTGCAGGAGAACTTTCTGTTACAAAGTCTCTCGCACATCCATGTACCTTCGTAGCATTTTCCTTCCTTTTGATTACTCTTACAATGGCAGTTCAGTAATACTGTTTCCATACAAGGGGGACACTCTCCAACATGACATAAATTATTACAAGTGTGCAAGCAAAATTCATATTTTTTGCTGCATATTGTTCCACAACTCCAATTTTTAGCATTGCAACGACGTGGCTGCGGCGGTAGCTTACCGCAATAACATTTGACAGACACCATTTTTGCGCATGGTGGGCATGGACCAGGATGACAGAGCAACACACATTTGTGACCACACTCTGGTTGTAAGAGTTTGTTACAAGTTTCGCCACAAGAATGTGGAATAATCCAGGGTTGATATGGAGGATTTATAGTCTTTTTACAGAAACATTCGTACGATCTTGGAATCTGGTCCTGGTTATATTCCATGCGACATTTTGGGCTGTAACATATGCATTTTTATCGGTAAAAATTAAGTAGGACTTTTAGCTTATATATTATATGTATTACATATTACATGTATGATATGTATTACATGTATTATATGAAATTTTGTTTTGGAATAATTCATGATATGTACCATGCCCAGATTGGTGTGATTCCTTTAGTCCGTTTGTAACTTAAACTATCATTAATCCAATGTAAGATGCAGGACATGTGCAGAAATGCATAGCATTTGTTGCAGTTCCATATCTATATAAGAAGAGCAGAAGAATAAGTTGCTTTATTATATTTGTGTATTTTACTAAAAACTTATAAATATTTTTTTTAATTTGAACAGCAAAGTTAACAAAGAAAATATGTGGTAACAAAAAATATGTTTACAGCAATTTAAAAATTTCCATTTCAAGATTGTGTAAATATTGCTATTTATATTAATATAGACTATAAAACTGCAGAAATTTCTAGCTTATGTTACATATATTTAAAAATATATTTAACAATGTGTAATTAAAATATTAACAAGATAGTAATGTCATGCTATATGTAAACATACCGGATCTATTTTCTTGACAGTTGATATACATATCAAGCAAACAGCGCTACTTGATTGAAAAGAGTTAACTAAGTATGATATCACTTTTTCTGCATCCATGCCTTGTCCTTGATATGCCAATAATACGTTGTCCACCACATTTTGGACATCTTCCTCATTTGTTTCATCTTCCTCTTCACTAGACGAATTTAATGATATGTTGGCCTCCAAGTGTCTTTCAATGGCCAACTTATTTTGTGCTTGAGCTCTCTTAAACTTCTGCATCTTGAAATTCTACAATTTGATAATATAAATCAATGTGACGATTAAAAACTTGACATATACATACATACATACATAAATAATATATATAAGTCATACAGCTTGTTCACATCAATATATCATTTCTATCATAATTAAATGAACTATTTATGCTATAGAATAGCTTTTGTACATATACATGTTTTCATTAAAATATATTAGTAAAATTCAACTTCGTTTCGCACATACACACATCTAATGTTACTTTGCTGAATAACAAACATTTAACCAGCAAATTGTTATAATTTCAGTCAATAAGAATCAAATAACGAGTTATATGGTCTTGATTTATAATTACCGATTTTTCTTCGTTTTTGTCGATTTCAAAAGTTAACCGTGATTAATCCTAACTATATTAGGTTATCTTTTAATGCTTTTTATCACTGTACTAAACTTAAAATTTTATTACGTATACATATACCACGTATTGTATTGCACCCACGTACATACAACAATCGTGTTAAAAAACTCGGCGTGCATATAAATACATCCTCTAGACGTTATAAATGCTTTGAACTATTTATTCGATCAATCGGAATAAAGAAATCTACGCTTCAAAGCATTTACATCGTCAAATGGACTGTGTCAAAGCCTTGCCAATAAATTTCTATAAGTATATATATGTACATGCGCTCCATTAGTTACAGATGCAGATTAATCAATCGGAACAAAAAAAAAAAAAAAAAAAAATTTTTTAATCTCGATTAGTCAATCAAATGCTCCGAAATATATATAATTTAAGTCATCTCAAGAATAAAGTATATCTTTTATATAAAGTATATTGTGGCGGATAAAAGTTAATCATAGTCTGGGAGAAGAAAAATAAGATGGTTCTTACAATTTTAAAAGATCTGAAGATGTAAAAACACAAACTCTCACAACAATCGACAAAATATTAAGAAAATATAAACAGGTAAAAACTAATCGTATTAATCGAAAATATAAGAATTGCGATTGCAGAATTCCTAGAATTTTAAATCTTATGGTCAAGTTTTACCATTTTATGATCTCAGAAAAATCTGTTGACAAATTTATATTATGTTAGAACTTTCTTTTATTTTTTCATATATAAAGATTGATGCTATTCGGTTATGTAAATATAAAATAACAATATGCGTGTACAAAATATTGTAATTGTGTAACATTTTTATGTTAATATATTGACAGAATTTCAAATTCTTTACAATCTTTTGCAATATTCTTACATATTTATAAATCATCCGCTTATCATAAAAAATTGTGTTGCACAATTTGTAAATACAAACATTGAAAATTGCTGTGTGAAAATATGTGTTTAGCATTAATCTCAGAAGTGTCAGACTTACATTACAAGTACAGTGGCAATGAGATCATTAATACTAAAACTACATTTTTAAAATGAAAAAATATTAAACGCATATATATAACTGCAATATATAAAGTATTTGTGCATTTATATATATAATTTAATTTTTATGAGTAAGGCACTCTCAGCCTATTTCTAATTATATATTGAACTATTTACTTAATATATAATGAATTGCATATTGAATCAGGAAATGTTGCATTTGAAACCTGCCTGCAAGTATCATGGATAATTAACTATGCTACACACATACATAAATACACATAATATATAATGAATATATTAAATATTCAGAAATACATACACACACACACACGCGCGCGCGCGCGTACATACACATATAATCATGTTCAAGTGAAAAAGATAGAAACCTAAATAAAAATGAACACTTTCTATTCTGTATTTTTCTTTGTTATCCAAAAATATTTAGCTATCTTAACAAGCTTGTTTTTTTTTACGGAAACATCAACGTTTATAAAGTAAAAATATCTGATATTCTATATATATATATATATATA